AGACGAGGGAAGATATTTTGGACCTCTAATAAACACGGTACACATGCATCTGAACATTGTACGTAGGCGATCTAAATGACTCATTGATTCTTTTCCTTATTATAACTACAAAAAACCCACAAACTTTTTATTTGTACAATCAAGAAAAACAGTTACTTTTTATTAGGACTATGACGTTTATTTCGTTTTCAAGTACCTATAAGTTAAAGTAGATTTGTAAATATGCATAGTTGAACTTGATAAAATCATCAAATGCATCACTGCTTAATAAGTTAATATCATTATCTTTTATAACATTTAATAAATCTTAAAAGCCTATATCGTTCATTTATTTATGCACGTTTGTATACAGGAACAACCTGATCCACCTCCCTGCCGAAATGGACACTTTTTGCGCCTCTATCACAGGAGAGTTACAATCTCGAAACTGGCGTATTGTTTTATATAAATACCAACCTTGGCCACTTAAGCAGTCTTTCAACTTGCTTTTTTTTTTTTTTATCAAAACAGGAAATGTTAAATCTAAACTGATTTTTCTAACCTCATCAGGAAAATTTTTACGATCTTTAATCAAGACAGGAAATATTAAATCTTACCCGATTGTTCCTGATTGCTAACATCTGCTTTCTGGAAAGTTGAAACTTGAACCTCTTTAAATCCACTTCTGTCTTCTTCTGTAACTACGGTTATAAACTTGCATCTTGCTTATGTACCCTGTCTGTTAAGAAAAATATATTCCCGTTACATTTCTTGCTTACTGTTCCTGCTTACGTTATTTCATAATCATAGTTATCAAATCTCTTGTCAGACTAACCGGTCACTGTAGCCCACAAGTAGAGATTTCGCTTCGTGATTGAATAGCCCGGGTTCTATTCTCGTTCGCGGCGCAGCGTCAAACCATAGACGTAAACTTAGTTAGTGAATGTTCCTTCGCCAAGCGCTCGGCATTGGAAGTAAAAATCACGGGTCTTTCGGATGTGACCTTAAATACGTAGGCTCCGTGTCACGGTAGGTATTGGATCGATAAAGAACCCCCACAGGTCAATTACCCTGAGTGCCGAGTTTAAAGGTCTAAATTTGAAGCCCTTCACTAGCATTCGGTGACGTCTCTATATATGTGAAAGAATCTCGAATGGGAAGTTAAAAAAAATTCCAATCAATCAATTAATCTTGTCAGAATTGAATCGTTTTCTGTTTCTAGATGATCTATTTTTCGGCTAAATTAATTTTTGATAACAGTTTTTCGAATGAGTTGCCAAAAAGTCCCCTTGAGGTCTTTGACGGTTTCCCTCAAATTTGCCCTAAAGTTAATCCTGGTGCAACTCTTGCAAAGTTAAGTATTGCGTCTGTTAGAGAAGTACACATTAATAAGCATTTCCAATCAGCACACGTGCTCTCTGTAAATTATATCTAAAGCATTATTAGGTATTGTCAATTAACAAGGTAATTTCCAGTCCTACGTCGATACGATATATCCTGAAGAGATAGAGATAAAAGACACCACATAGCCTGCCACATCTATTTCCTACTTGGATATTTTACTTGCAAAAGACGTTAATGGTAATCTAGCAACAAAGCTATATGATAAACGTGATGGCTATAACTTTTCTATCGTAACTTCCCTTACTTATGCGGCAATATACCTTCATTACCTGAATACGGAGTATATATATCTCAGTTGATTCGATATGCAAAAGCATGCTCTACGTATGAACAATTTCTAAAACAAGTTAACTTATTGACAAGCAAGTTGATGAAACAAGAATATCAATAGTCTCGTTTAAAGTCATCATCTCGTAAGTTCTATGGTCGACACAACGACCTTGTCAGCAAATACATTATATCATTAAGGCAAATGCTGACTGACATTTTCTATACTAATTGTTAGTCCATCTTCATACATTGACTTGAAGTCTGATTTTTCCGTTATATCCTGATCATGAAAAGGAGCACACGGCGGGTGTGGCCGGTCAGCAGGAGATGCTCACTCCTCCATGGCACCTGATCCCACCTCTGATGTTTCTGAGGTCCGTGTTTGCTCTTCTCCTATTTTGTATTGTTATATGGACTTTGATATTGAATACTGTTCGTTATCTCCATATCCTTCATGCATTTGTTACTTTTTGACCTTTCAATCTCCATGCTGCAGTATTAATTATACACCAAAGCATCAAGGAAATGCCTTTTCGTTTTTATTATTTCTTCTGCGTTTTGTTCATCATTTACTTATTTAATATATTTTTTCCTAAGACATTTTTTTAATTTGTCATTTTCTTCTGATCTAGTTTTTGTAGAGTTTAGTGATTATTATTGTTATCATGTTACATGTACGTTTATTAAACCCATTTTTGCAGCATTCTTAAAGCATTTAGGTGTTTCTATTTTGTAACTTCTTTAATGAAAATATTGAAATTAACTTTATTTTACTATTTTAGATAACTTAAGTAAATAATATGAAATTTTGATTGACTATAAGATTTTCCTTCTAAAGGACAAGTCTCATTTAAGTCTTATCTGTGGTCCCCGGTTACTCGTCAAATTTCGAACATTTATAAAAGGCTTTAAAAATTAAATATTGTTAATAAGTAATGTCTTTATTATTTTAATCTTCATCTAAAAATGTCAAATAATAGATATACACAGCATACGAAGCTGCGGTTTGAAGTTAGGGTCCTTTGATTTTCATGAATATCAAAAGAAATCACTGACAGGTACACACTTTCAAGCTTTCGTAAACACCGAGCACAGATTTGTTCAGAGTTGAGTTTGATATATAATGTGTATATTATATGTGTAAAGATTGAGTAAAAATATCTTTGTTGAACAACTTTGTGCTCTATGTTTTCTAATTAAAAGTATTGTGAATTTGAACCTCTTCGCTGTCTTCATTTACATGCGATTAACCTCTTTATGACCTGTTTCGAATCACAACAAGCCACGGGTAAATGCCCACAGTAAACGTGCTAGCAAGCACTCAGATGAAATGTACTCAGATCATGTATCGGTTAGCATATGGACTAGTTTGGTTAATCTTGTTATAGTGATTCATTCACATTGCTAGAGTTTTGTGAATAGAAAATTGTATTTGTTGTTGATTGTGAATCTTGAACATATCATTTGTCTTTGAAAGGAAAATATTATATATCACGGATATTCTTTTTATAGTATCTAATCTAAATGTCTCAACCCATTTACATGTAACAGAAAAACCGTAGTCTGATGGAGGGGAAAAGTTCCGGCATTTTTTAGCGCGATGGGTGGTAAAGATCGGCTTATATTTTTTGATATGTTTAACAGTTCATTATGAATGCACTATGATTGTATTAGAAATACTTTGTTATACTCAATGAAATCAAACAAAATACCCATTGCTACTATCTATCCAGTAAACCAAGGGAGTAAAAAGGGACCACACTACTATACTTAAGTGGAATACTCCTTTAAAGAGATATCTTACAATATATGCCAATAATGTAACATTTGTAACAAATATGTTTATATCCAAGTTAGTTTTCCATTTAAAATAACAAGAATGCATTTATGAACCACAGAAAAAAGAATAATTTGAATGTAATAGTATTTCTTTTATTCACTATGGTGAATTTTTTATTTATTTATGTATAGTACACCTATTTAATATATTAAAAGAATCCTCTAAAGCTGAACAAAAATTTAAGGTATTAAGACGTTTGCAGCACAGTTAAGGTTACAAAAAGGAGGCGGAGCCTAATTTGTACGGGAAAACTTGGCTATGACATTAGGGACCAGGCAAAATTTATCACAATGATGGGACCAGTACAAAACAAAATTCTCATTTTAAAAAAGTATGTGTCCCATGGCATTCTATTTGAAAAAAAATATCCGTCCCATGCCTTGAGACGAAAAGAAAAGTTACTGTCCCATGGTAACATCTTAGTGTTAGTGAAATAATTGGAATAAAACTAAAAGTCAGATTAAAGATATTTCAAATATCGATATGTTTTTGTTTGTTTCTTTATTTTTATACTTTGTAATACTATTCATTAATTTGAAGATTTATTTTGCTATTTAAATCTTTCATTTGACTTTCGAAGATACGACCTTTTTCGGGAAAAAAGAATATATATATTTTTTTTTTATAAAATGAATATCTCTCTTGGGTTAGGCTGTTTCAAATAAATTTTATGCCAACCAAGTATTAATGAATTATATCCAGCCAGAGTCCGAGCTTGATTTGCGAAAATTAGACACAATACCCATATTGTGTGAAAAGGTCATTTATTCACAAAAAGTACATATCTCATACTATTGAATATTATATAATAGGCATATACAAAAATACATCATATGATATGATTGAATAAATGACATAGATTCGCAAAGGTCCTTGCAGTGCGCAGCCCAATCAAGGAATGCCGCAAACGATTCAGACCCCTGGAAAATCCCGGGGCGACACATATTCAAAGACCAATTAAAAGCGCGCATTCCGAGGTATGCAAAATGATGCAGAGTTAACTGCGGCTAACAGCGAAGATTTACTCGCACTGAGTCATGTTTCATTTCCGGTAATAGATTACGCGTAAACTCTAGATGCTTGAGTTGAATAACAATATGACAAATACAAAATAAAATACTTATATCTAAACTTGTCATAAACTATTTTATTTTCCCATAAAATTAATTCTATGTACTGAGTATAACGTTATCCGCGCACGTAGGTAATCGTCCTTGCAGTGCGCAGCCCAATCAAGGAATGCCGCAAACGATTCAGACCCCTGGAAAATCCCGGGGCGACACATATTCAAAGACCAATTAAAAGCGCGCATTCCGAGGTATGCAAAATGATGCAGAGTTAACTGCGGCTAACAGCGAAGATTTACTCGCACTGAGTCATGTTTCATTTCCGGTAATAGATTACGCGTAAACTCTAGATGCTTGAGTTGAATAACAATATGACAAATACAAAATAAAATACTTATATCTAAACTTGTTGTCATAAACTATTTTATTTTCCCATAAAATTAATTCTATGTACTGAGTATAACGTTATCCGCGCACGTAGGTTAAGGAGAAATCCGTCTTTTCACCTTTTACAGCTGTTTTATTCAAAATGCGATTAATATTTGAAATGAGTTTTTATACTATTAGCTTCTTAAAACACATATATTGTCTTATTAATAAAATTTATTTATGTGCCAACTTATGTTTCAATGTGCTAATCTCATGTTACATGTGCCATTTCCTGAATAAACAAACAAACAAAAACAAACTTAAAAAAAACCCAAACAATTCGGAATTTCGTATATCCGTTTCGATTTGGTTCTACATTTAGCGACCTAATTCTGCTTCCCGTAGTGACAGAAAAATGGGTTTCGGCAATTGGTGGTGTCTTATTGAAAGAAAACTAAAGAATTAAACAGTATGGGATCATAAATGTAAGTAAAAAATATATGATTTTATGAAAGAAGTTAGTGCCAAACTCCTGTTTGTTGATTTTTTGGTCAGTCTTCGAATCACAGACTCTCAGTTCGTGATTATGTTGCCTGTAATTTTCATCGAATTTTGGAGAGATATCCAAACTTTACAAAGTGTGTCAAAAACCAAGATTTTATAATATACATTGAGATGCATCATTTAAATATTAAAAATAACTTCATCTTAAAATATTTTTGTAAAAATGTATAGGAACAGTAAGAGAAATTTAGTAAGGATGTAGTAGGGGCCTATTCATGAACCTGCAAATAGCTACAATTTTTTGGAAGGATAATACTAGTCATTTCCATTTGAGCAGAGAGAAGCTTACAGGAGATGGGGACTTTCAAATGAAGGAGAGTAAGGAAAGTGAATGGGGTATTCCAAGAAGTGAAGAATTAATTGTCATGTGTTTGGAATTCAAGGTAAGATAATCTAACAGCTACATGTATGGTCTAAATATTAGTATCTACACTTTCAAAACTAAATGCTTGTAATCTAGTACTATAAGTAAAAATACAGCATAATTAAATTTCAAGATATTTCAATATAAGAATGTATTAAATATTGTCATCATGAATTTTAATTGTAGATATTGTACAACTATTCCCACAAGAAGAAGCATTTCCCTACAGACTACCGTGTGGCAATATAAATCCAAAGGACAAACGAGGCCTAGTTAAAAGCCACACTCCTGCAAATTTAGTCTATATTGTTTGCATACAAAAGGACTCAACCAATATACATACTAAAGGAAAAACTCTGCTTTAAAAATTAGACTTAGCTGTCATATCCAATGCTCCTATTACTCAGTTATAGTATATTTAATGTACTGAATAGGTTAATTTGAATAAATTCACAATTGTTTAATAAAAATTTTGTTTGTTTATTTTTTATCCTCACTCCATTGTAGGTTTTTGAACTTTGGATGTGACGTTAAACATAGAATTAACTTTGAACAGCCTTAAGTAGTGTAACTCATTGAAAAAATGTTTGTGTCCCATGGGTATACTTAATGCTAAAAATGTTTTTGTCCCATGGTTTTCTGTGATGAAAAAACTCATTGTCCCATGCCTGTTTGTACCGGTCCCATCATTGTGATAAATTTTGCCTGGTCCCTTATTCAAATTATACGTCATACAACATTTCTTTAAAATACCACAAAATGAGTTGATTTGCTCATTTAAGCAGTAAGAAATCATCAAACTGCATAAAAACTTACTACAGAGTGCTCTTTTGTCGTTAGATAAATCCCACACAACAAGTTATAAACAAGTCACGAATCGCAGTACACTTGTCAATATGACGTCATTTTTTTAAAATGTGACGTAGTTTGTATGCAGTGAGAGACAGATAAAGTAATATTTTTTTCAACAAAATAAGTATTCTCTTATTAAATCAAATATTATATTCTATGGGCCAATAAGTTGAATTCAATGTCTTCTTCGCTATCTTATTAATATATTTTCTGTACATTACGTATTTAATTGGCACTGCCTATATTTGTATGCAAGTACATCGGAGGGTAACGTGGGGGTCTTAATAAATCAATTTAGTGCAAGGGCATACACACTATGGATCAAATTAAGCTTTTACAATTCAACTCTTGAACTATTAAGGTATCTGAAAAGTGCTGCGATCCTGATGAAATCTAAAAAACAATTTAATGATATCAATTCTTCATGCTGCCTGCCGACCAGCAAAAAATAAAGCATTCGGTCATTCAAATATAATTTTAACAATGAAAGAGCAGAATTTAGACAGAATCGCAGCATTTTTTAGAAACTACAATGCGTGTTGAAAATATTCATATGCTAAACTTGGAAATTTAACTTGGTTATGCCCTTGCACTAGTGATATTTATATGAAACATCAATACTGCAAGTCAATGTGCTAAAATCACGTGACTGCCGCATCACGTGAATAGTCTAAATATAAAATATAATCGTCCGCGATATCTAGTTATTAATCATAATTACAATTACCCGATATAAATAATGTACAAAAAATAATCGCCACCCCGATTACGAGAACATTTTTTAAATACAACATTTTATAGATATTGCCATTGCTCACCTTAACTGTACTGCGTTTTCTGAAGTTTAACTGGGGTAACATGAGACTAAAAAAGTGTTTCTTTAACCACATTCAAAGGATTTGTAAAAAATTGGTATTTTTGTCAAAAAATTAAAAGAATTTACTGATAGATGTTTGCAATACATTTCCATTTATTGTGCAAAATTCCCAAGATAGGAATTTTCCAACAGAAATTTTTCACTTTCACTGCTGGTATCACATTTTTATTTGTCAATTGAACAAAAAAGCTTTTTTTTTTTTAATAATATTCTCTGGCGTTGCTATAGACTTCAATAATGTTCTTAGCATAGTGAAAAAGCCTACATTCCCTTGCTTACATTTGTTAAAAAATATTATGTCAGTTACCTTGTTTGATGTATGATTCTACCAAGGTACGAATATCAATTTGACTCTTCTCTTTTATCTCTTGGCCAGGTCTCTATTTTTTCATGTAAACTTGGATTGTTATTGATTTATAACTGGTTAAATAATTGATACATGGTGTTTCATTTTGCCGTCAGGTCAAAAAAACCTTTCAAAAGACCTTCAACTTTATTACAAATCTATATTGTTAATATTATTTCAAATGAAACAATCATATAAAGAAATTTTCAATATGCCCCATAGTTGAACTGAAGGGAATACGTCAGATCAGGAAGGAATTAATGGAATGTCGAAAGGAGTCGATTGTAGAATTATATACCCAACATAACGCTTGTAAATACAACTTTAATCCAATATCCTCCAACTCATTATATTTTAATAGAAAATTGCTCCATGGACCTCCGAATAATCATCCTTGGGAAAATCGGATTTGGAAAAAGCAGCACCGGAAATGTTATTCTTGGAAAAAAAGTGTTTGATGCCAACCCTAAAAGTGAGCGTGTTACATTAAAACCAGCAATAGGGAAAGCTTTTCGTTTTAATAAAAAACTTAGCGTTGTGGACACCCCTGGATTTTTTACATCAAACTTTAGTAAAAATGAAGAAATATTGAACCAAATTACAGCATACAGTGTTTACGGCTACAATGCTATAATTCTTGTTTTAGATTTTTCTACATTTAACGAAAATGAAAAGATGATAGAATTCCTGAGAGAAACACTTCCCAAGGAATCTTTTGATAATTTAATCGTAGTGTTCATCAAATTGGATGGATTAAATAAAAATGATGAGCAATTATCTGACGTACTTGGATTATACAAGAATGATAAGCAAATCAAACAACTTTTAAAATTGATAAATGATCGATACTTTTCTCTTTATTATCACACATCATTTGATAGCGAGGAATCTAAGGGAGCAGCAGAGAGACTTATTCGAAAAATTGATAATTTATCTAAGATGTATATTTGTCTTTGCTTAGCACGTTTCAATCAGGATTCCCGAGGCGGTGTTCCAAATCAAAGCGTCTTTTCTTCCTTTACTAACAGTGATGCAGACGATTCTTCGAAATGGTTAGATCTCTTCAAAAATGGTTTTATTGCTGGAATTTTCATCGGTGCGATACTTGGGTTATATTTCACTGTATCACTCTCCGGATTCATATTTGCATACGTCTTTTCTCGAAAGGTTTTCGATGGAATGAAGTCAAAGTTACCTATAGCAAATGGTGAAAACCATGAGGTTATAGAAACAAAAGATGCACCCCTATCGGGAAAGGAGGAATTTAAAGAATCATCAGGTAAATATTCCCCAGATCACGGAAAGAAAAATGAGAAAAATAGTTCAAAAAAGGATAACTAAAGGTGTGGTTTCCATCAAAATTTATAAGTGTATATTGTAAGGAGCATTTCCTATTGGTGTCCTAAATTAGCTGCGTTCTGTACAAAAATATTAATGTTACAAGCATTTCCTCTAAATATAGTGATAATGTTAATTTAAACAAAAGACACAATGATGGTAATTAATTTGAAGATAAACGACGGCAAGTGTGATATTGATCCTTGTGAGAAAGCTTTCATAGCCATTTTAGTGAATATATCTAAAATCAGTTTTCTAACAAAATCTCTATAGTTAGACTTAGAAAATTTTTCATCCTTGTTATACTTTTCTTTCTCGAATCTCCTTCTGAAGTTATCAAACATTTTCTCTGTACTCCTGGAGTATTCAGTTTCAAAGTATGGACTTGTATTTTCGCTATTCATTTCAGCAACCATCTTTAAAAGCATTTTAACGTCTTCTTCCTGTTTATACAATTCCTTTTTTGAATAGTCCATGAATAAAAAGCGATTATTCGAATTTTTGATCAATTTTTTCAAACTGTTTTCAGCTGGAAGCTCATCTACATACTTCTTTATCGTGACATCATCTTTTTCTAATCTATCTTTTTCGGTAAAGAGAATTATTAAGTATTTATGAAAATTTGGTCCAAACAATTCTTTATATAGCGAAACTGTGTATTCATCCACCTCGGTAAATCTACCTGGCTTTACGACAAGAATAAATGCGTGAGGACCAGGAGATGTAAGAAATAGTGTCTTTGATATTTCCCCATATATTTCCGCATCACTTCGATCAGTATCACAGAGGCCAGGGGTATCAACAACAACTAGTTTCCGACCAAAGCGAGTAATAGTTCCAAATCCAACAGACTTTGTTTCAGACTGACTGCCTGTTTTTGAGACGAAAGCAAGCTCTTTTGATTATCTTCCTATCTTCCTTCCTACAGTTTAACATTTTCCAGGGCCCTGCCTATCGTTCAAGTACGTTAATGTATATTTGCCGAACAACAGCTTTATACATGTACGAGGTTTCTACATTTTACTTCAATTGGACTATGAAATATTAAGGATTTCCATCCCTAATGGGACCAAATTCCCTACCCTTGAATGTCCGTCAAGAACATTATACTTTGATATCATATTAAATTATTTTATAGTGGAAAAGGCCGATTGCCCGCGAGAAAATTTCAAAAATGTCACTAACTAGGCAGTAATTAATTAACAAAGATTGCATTGAAGTCTATGGGGAAAAGCGTTTTTTTTTAAAATAAAAATTCACATAATTTGAATATCAATAAATCCTGCGGTGGAAAGATGCATTGAAACATTAAAAATGGAATGATAATTGAAAACAATTTTTTTACCGGCTTAATTTTTTTAATTGATCTATTTTATTAGTTAAAAAAAGGGGAGATAACTCTTACCAAAATCCAAGTTCATGAATTAGGACACATCCCATTATACATACTTATGTAATAAATTGGATATGTCTAAATAAGCTGAGTATTAAATACTTACATGTCTGTTTTTTTTTTTAATTTCATTAAATTTGTTCCTATTAGGAATTGAAGACCTTAATACTTAACTTTCATTATCACACGCTACACCAATAACTTGGTGTACAACTCCAGGACAAGGGAACTGCTTTTCAAACTATTCAGTGAGGTCACTTTACTAATTCTTCAAATATTGATATAATGATCTTGACAAGATAGCTTATACATCAATTTTTGTTAAGACGTCACGCACAGACTTGGAGATGATTTTTTAAAGTCAAATTATCTTTTTCTTTCGTTATTGCATACGTCTAAGTGTTAAAACGTTTAAAGATAAAGGCGTAACAAAATAGACTAGACATCCAAGTTTTCCCTTGTTTTCTTAAAAACGGTAACTTTTTACTGTTTCCTTTGATTAAAAATTTTATTCATTTGCAAATTTTAAAAATAAGATTTTTATCTATAACAAGTTTTTCCATTAAAAGATAATACACCTCACATTTATCCCTTAAAAAATTAATAAACGCATGTATATGCCTTGTAGTAACAAAACCGACTAGACGTCAAAATCGCTCTATAAATATTTTTTTTATAACTTGCCTGTACTTTATAAAGAAAAATTTCACTACTTCTTGATTTGCACATTTCATTTATCTCTTTAATTTTTCCAAATGAACGTGTTATCTTGTAAAAAATCCTACCAAACATTTAATCTTTTCTTGTTATTTGTCAAAACACGGCATATTACGGAATAATTCCAAATTACGAACAGTCTGAATTATATTGGAAATTTATGACCGAATTTCGTTTGACATTACCAAAGG